ATATATTTTCATTGAATAGCCACATGTAGCCAGTGGCTTCTGAGTTGGACAGTACAGCTCGAGATTCTGTTTCAGATGACATGGCAGGCTCGGTTGTTGGAATTAACCTGCATCATGAAAATAGCTAAATATGCTGTTTTTCCTTTTTTTTTTTTTTTTGAGCCTTCTTGAGGCATCAAAGAACTGAGAAGATAGTACAAATTGCCAAGAAATTATCAAAGAACTAAGTAATTGGTAGGTGCTCAGAGAGGTGGACTGAGCACTATAATTGCTTCTCCCTCAAGGACATTTGCTGAATTTGACAAACTTGAATTACAGAAACAGAAAATAAAGTCCAGGTCTCACCCATAGTGGAGACCCTCTAGGAGATTCACCCCTCCGTAAGGCTGGGACCCCTAAGGGCCACACCCTTGGGGTAATGGTGAGCCATATATAATCTCAGCCCACCCACGCCTACCACAGGGCACTGGTCTTGCACATCACCTGTGTGATTCCAAAAAATTCAGGCCATGAATTTAAAGAGGTCTCTGACCGGTAGTGCCAGAGTGCAGTGGCAGGAACAAATGCCACTCTTTTCTGGAGGAACGCACAACATCATCCTACCTCAACGAAGTCCCACAAATAATATTCCAAGGAAAATGAAGGTGGTAATCATTAGTGTTGTTCACCACATGTTTCTCTCTCTGCCTTTCACAAATATGGCAGGAATGCTCTTCCTACCTCCTTTGAAGTTGGCATGACTAAGTGACTTCCTTTGGTTAATAACATGTGAATGTTATTCACTGAAGACCGAAGCTTATGAGTCATTACAGAATGGGCCGCCCTCCCAAGCAGATCTGTGGAAGTGTAGCTAGAGTCGGAGGTACTGTCAGCCTGGCTTCTTGAGTAAGTATGACAATTGGAGCCTCCTCATGGCCAGTGGTGGAATTAGAGCACAAGACATAAACTCTTGTTGTGATGAGATTTGGGAAACCTGGGAGTTGTTACTGTGGTAACTGTAACTTTGCCTGTCATGACTGATGCAATGAACAACTCACAGTCACTCATGACTAAGCACACAAGGAAACAAGGCACCATGAGTGAGAGCCAATAGAAACAACAGAGCATAAACAAACCACAGAGACTTCAGAAACTGGAATTATCAAACACATCCTATCTAATAAAGAGGGAATATGCTAATTGACACTCACACCATCGCAAAGATGGTGGCACCCACAGCCAATAAGGAGGGAATATGCTAATTGACACTCACACCATCGCAAAGATGGTGGCACCCACAGCCAATAAGGAGGGAATATGCTAATTGACACTCACACCATCGCAAAGATGGTGGCACCCACAGCCAATAAGGAGGGAATATGCTAATTGACTGCCACGCCTTCAAAAGATGGCGGCACCCACAGCCACAAGATGGCAGTGCCCAGTCCCCTCAGCCCTGCTGGGGCGGCAGGCACGCGGCAAGGCTGGGCCCACCTGGGGGCAGGCCCGGCCTTACTGCGTGCCTGCCTCTGGAGACCCCCAGTCCCAGCCTGAGGCACAGGCAAGCCTCGGATGGTGGCTGCCCAGCCGCCCAGGGCCACCTGAGGCTCAGGTAACCAAGGTCGGCCGAGGCTTGCACTGCCGGCAGTGGCAGCAGCAAAGGTGTGATGGGGCGTCACCTTCCCCTGATCGCCGGGTCACCTCCTGCCCCTGAGGGCTCCCAGACTGTGAGAGGGGGCAGGCCGGGCTGAGGGACCCCTCCTCCAATGCATGAACTTTCATGCATTGGGCCTCTAGTATTATAATATGTTTCTAAACATATTATAATATGTTAAAAAAGCAGTTGCCAACCAGTGGTCTGCGGACCACTGGTGGTCCGTGAGGTCCAAAAGGTTGGCAACCACTGCTTTAGAGGAATAAATGACAAGCTGGAGTATATATGCAAGGGTGGTCTTTAAAAATACAGCTGATAAAAGAAAGTCAGCCCTGTTTAGATGCCCATAGAATTGTGTGGGTGCTGGAAAATACAGATATAATGTCTGCTGCTTTCATTTGGTTCCCACCCAAGGGAAAGACAAACCAGAGGCCCCAGAGAGAGTCCCTGTTCTGGTCTCTACTGCTGCGTAACAAACACCCCAAATATAGTGCTGTAAATCAACAAACATGTTATTCTGCTCATGGATTCTGTGGGTCAGGCATACTGAAAAGACACAGCAGATGGTCCGTCGCTGCTCTATGATGAGTATCCTCTGGAGAGGCATGAAGACTGCATGGGCTTCCTCAGGGCTTGGTGTCTGGGTCTCAAGCATCCCAGGAGAACCTGGTGGAAGCTACTTGTCCTTTCATGAATGATCCTCAGAAGTCACAGAGTGTCACTTCCTCTGCAGTCGCAAATTGGCCCAGGTTTGAGGGAAGGATCTATGTCAACAGGAAAACCAGCTCTTATAAAAAGAGCATGGGGATAAGAGTTATTGATGCACAGTCTCTCCCTTCTCCTAGGCAATCCTTTCCCTTATCTATGGGATGCTAAGGTTCTATAGTCATTGTCCTCTGCCTCTTCCCTCTCCTTTCTCCTCAACAGCAAAACCAAGATGTGTCTGGTATCAGCTATTTCCTGAGGTTTACTAATAACCCTTTAACTGAACCATACAATACATTCTCACTCTATGCTTTGCTTCTCTCTCTCCCTCCACCCTCTCTTCCTCTCTCTCTATTTTCCTCCCTCACTCCCATAAACAAGAAACTAGGGGGACATTCTCACTCTATGCTTTGCTTCTCTCTCTCCCTCCGCCCTCTCTTCCTCTCTTTCTCTCTATTTATCTCTCTCTCTTTTCCTCCCTCACGCCCATAAACAAGAAACTAGGGGGGCGTTATTCAAAGGAAGTTGAAGGAAGGAAGAGAGAAGCCTTCTGAGCTGACCCTGAAGGCAAATTTAATTCAATACCTACCTCCAGGTTCGTTGAAGCCAGGGAAGAGTGAGAACCAGAAAAGATGGTCCAAACATGTTGAATGCACACTTGTCTCCATTCCAGTCTCCTATTCCCAGGAGAAGCTTCCCAGGCCTGTATTTTATGTTTGGGACATTCATGCCACCACAGACCCCATTACCTGCCATCTTGGCACTCTCTATCCATGTATTGGGGTTCTCCAGTGAAACAGAATCAATAGGAGATATATATGATGAGATGTATGATGGAACCTGGCTTATGCGATTATGAGACTAAGAAAGCCCCTGATCTGCCATCTGCAAGCCAGAGAACCAGGAAAGCTGGTGGTGTGATGCTGTCTGAGTCTGAAAACCAGAGAACCACGGGCACGATGTCCAAGGGGAGGGGAGGATGAAGGTCCAGCTCAGGCAAAGGAAGTGCATCCACTGCTTTTTTGCTCTCTATGGGGCCCTCCGTGACTGAATGATCCCCTCCCACAGTGGTGAGGGCGATCAGTCTTCTCACTGGGAAAAGGATCTTTGTGACCAAAACAAAACTGTATGACTTGCAACTCTCCAATCAGACATGTGTGTTCCAAAGAATTTCCACTCACACCTTTATGTCAGGTTGAAATGTCATATCCCAATTTTTCAAGGGGTTATGGGGAAACAGGGCTCACCAATCTACTGGGTTTCACCATATTTCTTTTTATGCCCCTACTAAAAAAATTTTGAGTCCAAACCTATGTTTACTTATTTTTATGCATTTTATAATATGTATATATACAACATCTGTAAAACATTATGCATGTTGTTAAATATGCACCAGACATGACTAATGAAAAATTTTAAAGGACTAAGTCCTCTGTGATAAAGCTTTAAAAATTATATTAGTTTTTATTATAAAGTAGACATAAACATTGGCACTCCCAAAATATATCGTAATTCAGTCATATGAAAGATAATGTTAACATTAATAATATTTTGGTGAGAGAATGTGATTGAAAAGGAATCTTTTTTAACATTTTGGTTTAGTGACTTGTAATGCATTGACTTAAAAGTCTGGTTCTGTGTACAATATATTTCTGCATATGTTCATAACTATGAAATTTTCAGGAACAAAAATAGTCACTGCTTGATTTCGATGACTGTGGACAAAAACCTCTCCAACATGTGGAGATTGAGTTGGAGAAGATAATTGTTGGCTGAGATTATTTTCCCTAGTTCTTTCCAGGTTACAATATTTCACGTTCCCAAGAGGCACAGACTTCCTTTCAAGATCCACTTCCTCCTGTTGTTGACCTGTTTTTGTGATTCGATCACATGTTCCCTCTGAAGAGCTTGACAGAAAACATTTGCAGAGAACCTCATGGATTTGCCATTCCTTTCCCACCACCTTCTTCCCAAACATGAAATCCGAAAGAATGAGTGGGTATGTCTAGTGGAGACTTTTCCTTTAAATAGAAGTCACAGACCATATATTAGAGTGAATGATCCCTTCATTTGATGGAAGAACACCGGTTACTTTTTATTTATACAAGACACCCAACTTTGGAATTGATGAACGAAAAGGACAGTTATCACTTTTGTGCCAGATTAAAAGTTTATTAGGAGGTTAACAAGGCATCTTTTATTGCATCTCCAAAGACCAAAAGAGTGACAAGGAAAATGTCTCTCAATTATGTTTAGCTTCATAGTGTGCCCATCAGCAATATCACATTTAATGAAATTTATTTTACAATCACATCTAGATGAGTACCTGTGAAAGCACAACACATTATGTAAATGTCACTGTGATAATAGATATTACTTGACCCTGTTATAGATTTCTCTAAGTGTCTCAGAAGATGGAGACAGTAAGGTGACTCTGCCATCTCTTATAGCAGTGGTTCTCAACCTTCTGGCCCTTTAAATACAGTTCCTCATGTTGTGACCCAACCATAAAATTATTTTCGTTGCTACTTCATAACTTTAATGTTGCTACTGTTATGAATTGTAATGTAAACATCGATATGCAGGATGGTCTTAGGCGACCCCTGTGAAAGGGTCGTTCGACCACCAAAGGGGTCGCAACCCACAGGTTGAGAACCGCTGTCTTATAGGAAAGAATCAAGCCAGGAATTTCAGCAGAAGCCTAGAGGTGAACCCTGGAAGCTGGTGCAAGAGAAGTTTCTTCCTTTATCCAAAGTGGTCACTGTTGGAGATGTTTGAACCAAGTAGAGTTGAGATGTGACTTCGGAGCCCTTCTCCTCCTCCTGGCACCAGGGCCTCTAGCACACAAAGGTACTGCAAGGCCCACACCGAACACGCGGGCCACAAGGATTGGAGACACAGGGTCCAATGGGCTTGTCACATGCATTGGTTGTAGCACATGGGTTGCAGGGAAGACTGGAGACAAAACCATTGGGGCAAGTTAGGGTGACATGAGCTGAAGAAACTGGAAGATACTAAACACACTTTGTTTATATCTTTCTTCCTTTGTTGCCAACCAAACTCTTGAAGTTATAAAATGATTTCCATCAAGAAGAGCCCCCACCCCCCCACAACCTCGTGTGCTCTCAAGGAAAGTATAACTAGCTTCATACTCACTTGCAGTCCTCGCTCTCCAGCAGGCCCCGGTACGTGTTGATCTCACACTCCAGCCGGGCCTTGACGTCCAGCAACACCTGGTACTCCTGGTTCTGCCGCTCCAGGTCGCATCTGATCTCACTCAGCTGCTCCTCCACGTTGGTGATCATGCACTGCACCTGGGACAGCTGGGAGCTGTAGCGGGCCTCGGTCTCTGTCAGCGTGTTCTCCAGTGAGTCCCTCTGTGTGGGGAAGAGGAAGAATGTCACAGAGCTGCTCCTTTAGCATGTCCCTACATAGGGTTCCATAGAAGTCACAAGCTTCCACAGTTAAAGAGGCACCCAGCCAGTATTGCTCAGTGGTTAAGTATCGACTTATGAACCAGAAGGTCACAGTCAAGGCACATGCCTGGGTGACAGGCTCAATCTCCATTAGGGGGCATGCAGGAGGCAGCCGATCAATGATTCTCTCTCATCATTGATGTTTCTCTCTCTCTCCCTCCCTCTCCCTTCCTCTCTGAAATCAATGAAAACATTTTTAAAAAAAGAGTTAAAGAGACTGTGACCCAAAGGGCTGCCCTGTGACTCTGATTCCCCGACTTTCTCACCAGCAGGTCTGAACAATACCCACCAGGTTGTGCTGGGCCTGCAGCTCGATCTCCAGGGCGTTGACCGTGCGTCTCAGCTCAATGATCTCCGCCTGGCAGGTCTGCAGCTGCTCTGAGCTGGACACCACCTGCTTGTTCAGCTCCTGGGTCTGAAACACCAAAGGTAAGAGACAGGATCAGACTCTGCCTTAAGGGTTCCAAGGTCCTGGGTGGCCATGTGCTGAGATGCCCACCTGGTTGGTGAACCATTCCTCCACGTCCCTGCGGTTGGTCTCTACCAGGGCCTCATACTGGCACCTGGTCTCATTGAGCACGCGGTTCAGGTCTACAGTGGGGGCAGCGTCCACCTCCACGTTGAGGCGGTCTCCAATCTGGCAACGCAGGGTGTTGACTTCCTGATGGAAGATTTAAAGTATTTGAACAGTATTTATTACATTTTAATGATTTAAAAAATTAAAGGATCCTGATCCTCTCCTCTAAGAATGCAATTCAACTTGTGATCATTCGTAAGCTTTCAACAGCTCAGTTCCCTCTGATCCTCTCATTAACTGGGTTCTATATTCATGACTAATCTGTGTATTTCACTCTACAAAATGCTTTCAAGTCCATGACCTCTTTCCAGCCTCGTGTTCAGTGTACCACTCCTCATGTGGAAGGTGAAGTATAATACACCACAGTTTGCACTATGGGTCCCCAAACACCAAGTTTGGAGAGATTTTGCTGGTATACCAGAAAGCCTCTTATGTTGGATTCTTAACCATGGGTAATAAAAAGGATAGAGTCTGGCTAAAGATGAATTAAAGACTGCTTACTTCAAAATCTGCCATTGTCGCGTAACTGGTGATTTGTTGGTTCCACCAGCATAGATCTTGCTGGAGGAAATCAGTGTCTCTTCATTTCACTGCTAATCTCACTGAGCCAACATTGTGTGGTGCTTGGGCTTCGGTGGACGTCAGGCAGATTTGAGTTGGGTCTCACTTCTACCCCTTACTATATGGCTTCTAGAAGCTTCTAAATGCCCCAATTTCTACCCCTGGAGTTCAAAAGCACTTGGTACAACATTTGGCACACAACATGTACTTAAGTAATATCAACTGTCACCATTTACATTGTTTGGGAATTTAAGGTTTGCATGGAATATCTGTTTTCTTTATTGTGCAACCGAGCAGTGGTGGTGAGCATTTTTCTCAGTGTTTCCTGTCAAGCAGAAAGCGCTCTGAGTGAGAAGGAAGGAAGAGAGGGGCTTCGTTTCCAGCTCAGCCCGCTCTGCTGTGTCGAGAGGCCTCATCCTGGCCTCTCCAGTTGCTAAGTGGAAAATCTGGATAAAAGACCCCCGCAGACGTGCTCTGACTTGGGGACTGCCTAGTTGCCGGCCTTTCATTATTGGGCTCGCCAGCTTCCTTCACTCTCATTCTTGCCTCCGGCAGAAAACTCCTAATCTGCTATCAGGGATGTTTAGGTTACTCATTCTCGATAAGCCCCTTTTTGTTTGGAAAACACGTTCCCCAGCTTGCCGAGCCTCTCCCACACCCCATGGGGTTGGAAACAGGCCGTGGCAAGTTCAAGCCCGTTGCTCCTTGGGAAACCTCACCTGCTCGTGGTTCTGCTTGAGGCAGAGCAGCTCCTCCTTCAGGGACTCCACCTGGGCCTCCAGGTCAGACTTGCACAGGGTCAGCTCGTCCAGGATCCTGCGCAGGCTGTTTATGTCCGACTCCACCAGCTGCCGCAGGCCCATCTCCGTCTCGTACCTGCAATACGTAACAGGAGCATCAGATGCAGGCCTGACCTAGACTCTGGTTTGGTTTGTCAGACAACTGGGAGTTGGGGCTTGTGTTTTGTACAACCATCTCTTTCATTTAGGTTTTTAACACCGAGCAGTAGCTCCTAGAGAAAAATCCCCTGGTGATTATTTTTTAAAGTATATTTTTATTGATTTCAGAGAGGAAGGGAGAGGGAGAGAAGGAAACATCAACGATGAGAGAGAATCATTGATCGAGCCCGCAACCCGAACATATGCCCTGACCGGGAATTGAACCGTGACCTACCTCCTGGTTCATAGGTCGACCCTCAACCACCGAGCCACGCCAGCTGGGCTGTAATTATTTTTAATAAATAAAGAGCCAGTGGACTTAAAGGGATAAAAGCCCATAAAAACGGTGAGATGTCCAAAATTAATACATCTCCCGTAGTCTCCCGATGGACTTCTGTGCAGAGGAGAGCACTGGGGAGCAGGCTCCGGCACTAGGTTGGGGGATGTCGTTCTGCAGAGAAGCAGGAGGTGAATCCGGAAAAGAGGTCTCTAAGCTCTGGTGAGCCTCAAGCCCTTGGGGAACACACGCAGGGAAACGCTGTTGATGTTCATCAGTGTTGAGCACAGGCTAAGGGCACGGAGAGGACAGAGAGAAGGCAGCACCCCGCTTGCCACTCACTTGGTCCTGAAGTCGTCCGAGGCCAGCTTGGCGTTGTCGATCTGCACCACCAGCCGGGCATTCTCCGACTTGCTGCACAGGATCTGGAAGACCCAACACATGCTGGAGTGAGCTGGGTTACTTTCAGCAGCGGCAATCCCTACTAATTTATCTATCTGGAAGGAGCACCCTAGTAGATCTTGTATAAGACTATTAAGTGCTATCTCTGTGCTCAATAACTATTTGAGAAATTTAATTTGAAAAGAACACCCAGAAAAGTATCAGTAGATAAATTATCTTTCTTTTTCTTTCCTAATAAGCAGTACTGAGAAGTTGATAATAAGTAACATTTATTTTTTTAAAACTTACTATATGTCTGGCATGGTTCTAAGAGCTGAGGATACAAAAATGAGTAAGCACTAGATCCTGCCCTCAAGAAACTCCCAATCCAACGGGGAAGATATATATATATCGTCCAAAATGACCAAAGCTCGACCAAACATCGGAAGTCAGTCCTGCAGTCAGTGCTGGGTCGCCGTGGCGACACAGCATTGACTGCCGCACTGTGGGCGCCTCATCGACCCAGCACTGACTGCCCAGGGGGCTGTGATCAGACCAAGAGAGAAAAAACGGCTATTCCTATATAATACATAAAAATCTAGAAAGATTTAGAGAAAATAAAATAAAAGATATGCCAGGTAAACATTGAACAGAAGAGCTGAAGTTGCTGCATGAATACTGGATACAGGCTTGAAGCCAAAACACAACTCATGAGATAAAGTTAGTCATTGTAACATAACAAAAGGTTCCTTTCACTAAAGAGAAAAGATGGTTCCCAATACTGATACACATAATAGAACAGTGTGGGGGTTCAGAATGAGCCTCACCAATATGTCTCAGTGGTATGCAGATTTTTGAGCTAAGGGCAATTTTAGCTTCAGGCTCAAGTGTAAATTCTGCCCCTCCCTTTAACTACCTAAAAAAATTGAATTAGAGGCCTTGCCAATAATAAGACATTATCCTATATAATAAAAGGCTAATATGCAAATCGACTGAACAGCAGAATGACCGGTTGCTATGACACGCTCTGACCACCAGGGGGCAGATGCTCAATGCAGGAGCTGTCCCCTGGTGGTCAGTGTGCTCCCACAGGGGGAGCGCCGCTCAGCCAGAAGCCAGGCTCATGGCTGGCTAGCACAGCAGCAATGGTGGGAGCCTCCATGGCAGTGCTAAGGATGTCCGACTGATGGCTTAGGCCCGCTCCCCTAAGCCATCAGTCGGACATCCTCTGAGGGCTCCCAGTCTGCAAGAGGGTGCAGTCTGGGCTGAGGGACCCCCGCCCCCCGAGTGCACAAATTTCATGCACCGGGGCTCTAGTAAGGAAATAAACTTGCAGCTGGGAACATGGGCTGGATCAGGAAAGCAGCCACGCCCTCCCGGCCACCCAGGATGGCTTGGCACCATGTCCTGGTAGGTAGTTTTCAAGCTTTCTGGTTCTAGCCAACCATTGTATGCCCTCACTGGACAGTACAACCAGGAGAAACCCAGAGGCATCTAGGTCAGGACAATGATGTCACAGAGATTAGGGACCCACAGAGGACAGTAGTAAGAGGTCAGAGCCATCGAAAGTCCAGATGCGGGAGAGAGAAATGGTCTGGTCTTTACAGAAGGTTCCGCTTTACCGAAGGTTCTCGGGCCCAGTCTTTTCTCTCACCCCAGGGTAGTAATTCCGGAGCTTGGCAAATGCACAGCAGCTTTTAATTACAGCGTATTTATGCAAAGTGCTGCTGCCTCCACAAAGACTAACACTATGCAAATGTTCAGACTTAACAGTCCTGGGCCTAGAAGAACATGGGCCTCCCGGAAACAAAATGGAAAAGCCAGACTGGAACCCCTGTGTTTTAATCCCCCCAAGAGCCTGTTTTATTTCTGAATCAGAGCTCACATTCCCTCCCTACAAGGTCCTGCCTGGGCAGTGCGGTGCCCACCCCTCACCTTCTGTTGCAGCTCCTCGATGGTCCGGAAGTAGGACTGGTAGCTGGGGCACATCAGGGGCTCCTGGGGCTGGCAGCGCTCCTGGATGAGGCTCTCCAGCTCCGCATTCTCCCGCTCCAGCTGCCGCACCTTCTCCAGGTAGCTGGCCAGGCGGTCGTTCAGGAACTGCATGGTCTCCTTCTCGCTGCCATTGAAGGAGCCCTCGCAGAACCAGCCGCAGTTGCTCACGTTGGCGGGGATGTTGCTGGCCCCGGGCAGGGGGGTGCTGTGGCAGCTGGGGGCCACGCAGGGCCGGGCGGGGCAGCTGGAGCGGCAGCTCAGGTTGGGCAGGCTGCAGGTGGGCATGGTGCGCTGGGGGCCACGCAGGGCCGGGCGGGGCAGCTGGAGCGGCAGCTCAGGTTGGGCAGGCTGCAGGTGTACGGCATGGTGCTGGGAGGGAGCGAGGCGCCGGTTGAAGACAGAGTCCCAGTTCTCCAAGGAGCGTGTGGGTCTCCTAGTTCTGGGAGCCTTTATACCCCTTCCACAGAGGGTGTGAACATGGAAGGCAGCCCTTTTATTCCTACTTACTTGGCGATGGTCAAAAGCCCTTCCCCTTGGTTTGTTATGTTTCCTCAGAAGAGTCCCTCACCTCATAAAAGTCTTTACTGGGGCTTCTCCCTACCTCAGGACTCCTCATCCATGCTGAGTGTCGATGAAGTAAGAGCCTCACTGTGTGGCTTCAAAGCACTGGCCTCGCGAACGCCCTGGCCTTTATTACTGGGCGTGGTGGGTCAGGAATACTGTCGTTCCTTTGCTTCCTGGCTTCCCAGCCCTGGCTCCTTGGCAAACCTCTGGCTCTGCTCGCTATGACAGAAAAACTTAGCTCCTGCCTGTGTGTCCTTGGCTAGGTCAAATTTCCAGCACTGGCTTCTAAACCCATGTTCTCAGAAAGAAGAATAAATCCCTCTGGAACCATTCAAACTGCCTGGTTCCCAGTGGCCGTTGCCTGATATGCGGGCACCACCTATATCTGTGATAATGTCAGTCAACCAAATAACAGATGTTCACCAGGATCATAGTTCGGACAGGAAACAGTGAGGAATGGAGGGTCAGACCAGGGCTGTGGTCAGATGGAGCTAGCATTTGTTGGGCACCTACACAGGTCCAAGGTGGTGCTAGACACTTTTCAGAAACATGATCTCATTCACTCCTCACCATGAGCCTTCGAGGATGAGTGGTATTATACCCATTTTACAGATGGGCCAAACGAGGCATAGAGGGTAGGAGTTAATATGTTGTGAAGCCAGGATGCCAGCGCGGATCTCTCCTCTTTCCATCATACTATGCTTCCTAAATAAGTGAACTACCCCCTTCTCTAACTTCTTCAGACCTCAGTAAGTTGGGAAGTTCTGCATCAGAGGAACTGGGAGAAGCTCAGTAAGGACTGTGTGAGCCAGGGAGTGACAGATGAGGGTGGAGGAGAAGCAGACTCTTTCCATCCTCCCCTGCTGCATAGGTACAAATGACCGACCTCCTTTCCTAACTTCTGACAGATCCTCTCTTCCTTCCCAAGCTCTCATCTCACCTTGAACATGGCGTTGTCATGATTCATGTCTACCTCTTTCTCTAGATGAGTTCCCTGAAGGCATGGAGGACCCTTATATGAAGGTCCTTGAGTTTGGGCTTTATCTTAAGGGCAAAGGGGAGCCATTGAAGGTTCTAAGGAGAGAAGTGATATAGTTTCATTCTTGATAAGCTGCATTTGAAGGAACAGGGAAATGTTCAGCAGGTCCTCGGAGTTGACTAGAATTCCTGACAGATATAATCCCAGTGCAGATATGAGTGCTAGAGAAATAAGCCCAGGGAGAGAGTCCACAAAGAGAAGAACAAGGGGCTGAGGACCAAACTTTGGAAAACTCCCCAACCAGAGAGCAGGATTAAATGGAGAACTGGCGAGAGAACATGAAGAGAGCCGGTTCATGGCACGACAGAAGGTCAAGGAGGAGAAAGCATCAAAGTGGAGTTGACGGTCAAAACTCTTAGTGTGGCAAGGGGCCCAGTAAGATCAGAACCATGGAGAGGGTCTTGGATAAGTTGACCAGCAAATTGCCAGGATCCTTCCAGAGTCACACAGGTATATACCACACCTGTGCTCTTCAAAATAACACCCACACCGAACTTTGGTAAACTGAGACTTTAAACACCCTGAGCTGAGATGTTCATTGTTTAGAGAAATCCTGCCACAGTCAGTCTGTACACCTGATTATAAAGCTTGTGAGCTTTGCTCTTACCCATACAGACTTTCTTACCATAATTAGTGTACTTTAAGCAGCTTCAAGCTGTCAGTCTTGTTTGGATCTGATGATTTATAATAGTTGGTGATGTAGGAACAAGTACCCAAGAAGCGGAAGCACTTGGAACTGTCCATGCCTGTAACTTCTATTTTGTTGCAAGGCATAAGGTGAGATGTACTTAATATCCTAAAGGGAGGTGATGAGGAAAGAATTCAGTTGTGTGCCTAGATATACTGCCCAGGGAGAAGAAGGGCTCCTTACCATCGTCCTAGCAGGGGACACAGCAGAACTCAAATAAAGATGCTCAGAGCAGAGCCCAAGCCCCTCAGCTACAGCTGCAGATCAGCAACCAGACTGCTTTGCTCTTCCTTTACTCCTTCCACCTCTTAAGGTAGAGCTCAAATGCCAAAATTATCAAAAGAGAGAGGGAAAATCTTGGAACAAGTGTGATGGTAAGGATCTTAATGATTATCTCATTCAAGTCTCTCACTGTACAAATGAGGAAACTGAGGCACAGGATGGAGAAATGGCTTGCTTAGGGTCTTATCATTTGAACCCAAATCTGCTGACCCCTTGAAGTCCCAGTCCCCATCACCATGCTTCAGAAGTGTTCAATAATTTCACAACCAATCCGATCTGCATTGCCTAGGTCCTAGGGAGAGAAATTAAAGGGAGTGACGGGGAGAGGGCAGAAAATCTTGCTGCCATAGATATGCTTAGTTGAAGAAGAATGAAGGGTGAATGTGGAGGTAATAGAATTCAGCAACATTGAAGTACTTTATGGACTGATTTCAATTTTTATTTTTATACTAGAGGCCCGGTGCACGAAAATCATGCACAGGGGAGGGGGGCGGCGGGGAGGTCCCCTCAGCCCAGCTTGCACCCTCTCCAATCTGGGACCCCTTGGGAGATGTCTGACTGCTGGCAGTCAGACATTCCTCTCACAGTCCAATCTGGGACCCCTTGGGAGATGTCCGACTGCTGGCAGTCGGACATTCCTCTCACAGTCTGGGACCACTAGCTCTTAACTGCTCACCTGCCTGCCTGCCTGATTGCCCCCAAATGCCCCCCTCTGTTGCCCCTTACTGCCCCCCCTGCTGGCCTGGACACCACCAAATGCTCCCCTCCCCCCCACCAGCCTTGTTGCCCCACGCAGCCTGCTGTTCAGTCATTTGGTCTCCCTCACTAACCCCCTGCCGGCCTGGTCACCCCATGCAGCCTGCTGTTCAATCGTTTGGTCATCCCTCACTAACCCCCCTGCTGGCCTTGTCGCCCCATGCAGCCTGCTGTTAGGTTGTCTGTCCAGTTGTTTTGGTCATGATGGCCCCTGGCTTTTTATATATTAGGATTGATGATACAATTATATCCCATCAGATACAGAATTATATCCCACCGTTTGGAGAAACTTAGAATCACAACTGTTCAAATGCTGATAACCCTACTCAAGAGCAATACACTGACCCCAAATAAGGTAAACAAATAGTTATAATAAAATTAAAATGATTGTAACAATGAGACAATTGAGAGATAAAAAAGAACCACATTACAATGATAGCACTGCATGTATTTGAATGGTAGGATTATGAATGCTTTCTTTTTCTTCTCTACTCTTTTTTGTCTCCTCCAAATTTTTTAAAAACATATTACTTCTGTGCAAGAAAAAGACATAAAATTAACATTAAAAATTCCAAAAGGAAATTCTTGCAAGTCTTCTAAAGCAATAAAGAGCTGTAAAGGGACGCAGGTAAGGCTCCTATTCCAACATAATCGTTAAATTGCCATTGAGCTTGTTATTCTGGAAATAAAGCCTTTGTCATGATTGGCATCCACACTCTTGTGGTAACTGCTGAGTTTGCCAGTTTCCAAAGGGAGCTATTAGGAAGTGATGAAGGGAAACTAAGCTTCCTATGGGATCAAAGGACCTGTTGCTCATGAATTGGCTGATGTGTAGGTCTCAGGTGCAGGTGAAGAGAATGCCAAGAGGACCCAGCCTTGGAGAAATGTTCTCCCAATGAACTGTCAGCCCATAGCCCAAGACAACTGGGTATTTCAGGATCACTTCGCCAGACGACATTCTTAGAATGGGTTTCCCACACACATGATGATAAAATGTCTTTTCTGCAGATAGTGCCAAGTCATATGAAGTCTAGAATCTTAGAATGTTGGCACTGCCAAGGAAGACCTGGGCAGCCATCTCATTCAACTCTTTCATTTTGCAGATGGGAAGGCATTGACACAGAGGGGGACGAAGCTTGCTGAGGCTCACGTGCAGAGTTTGTGGAAGAGTCTAAAATGGGGTAAGGTGCATTAGACTAGAGAAATAAGGGACAGGAGACAAGGCCTTTGGTCTTTGTGAGTGTTGGAACTCAAACCATTGAAAAAAGATACATCTCTCAAAAGACTGCACCCTTAATGAAAAGGTGAACTTAAAAAAAAATGTATGCTCATTGTTACAGGAAGTTTTAAAGAAGAAGAAATTGAACTTGCTCTTACTGGGTTCTAAATTTAAAATAGTATGCTATATTTTAAAAAGCCAGTCATAAAATACCACATATTGTATGATTCCATTCATAGGCTGTATCCGGAATAGGCAAATCTATAGAGACAATAGGGGTTGCCTAGGCCTGGAGGGTGGGGGGGCAATGGGAGTGACTACTAACTGGGTAAAAGAGTTCTTTCGGGGGGTGATGAAATATTCTAAAATTATGGTAAAGGTTAAATTATTCTATCAATATATTTAAAATCACTGAACTATATACTTCATATAGGTGAATTTTATGGTATATGAATTATATATTACTAGAGGCCATTGCACGAAGATTCGTGCAATAGGCCTTCCTTCCCCTGGCTGCCGGCACCAGTTTTCCTCCGGCACCGTTTTTCCTCCAGCACCCGGGACCCAGACCTTTGGTCCGGCCACAGAGGAGAAGCCAAGCCTCTTCGGTCTTCAGTCTTCAGTCTTCACTCTGGTCGGAGCCTTCTGTCTTCGCTCCACGCCTGCGTATGCAAATTAACCACCATCAACAAAGATGGGTTAATTTGCATAGTCACTCTGATTGACTGGTGGGCGTA